CTGCTTGGATTACTAGGTTTCTAGCAATCTCTAAGGCTTCCTCAATAGAGGTTGCCTTTGGTGTTTTCCCTACTGTAGGGTATCTTGGCACTGCTCCAATAAATGGAGAAAAATTGCTTCTTGTCCTAGTATGGGTAGGCCTAGGCGGTTCTTCTGGTTGCCTGTTAGGGCACGGCGTAGAGGCCTCCTCAGCCATCTCGGTTTCTGGATTATTATCCATTAGTCGTTTGCTTGTGCCTCTAAGGTCCTTTGAGGCTAGTCTTTTTTTGTTATTTTTATTGTTTTGATATATCTGTGTTTCTTGCTGAATTTGAGCTTCAATAAGCTCCTGCGTTCCTATTAGCCCCTCTAGTCTTAGCATTAGAGCCCAAGCTCTGTGAGAAAATTCTCACAGGCGTGAGATAACGAAGGAAGGCCTCCTTCTTCTCCCTACTGCGCGCTAGCGCCTTAGCTGCAGGTGTTAAAAGTGCTGTTAGTCGATTCCTCGTGGTCGGTTCTCCTAGATAGCGTGCTTTTCTAGCGGTTTCCAGAAAACTCGAAGTTGGTGTTTTGTCTACATACATATACATACATAAGATTCTCTAGGATTTTGAATACGTCACTGACACTCGGCACGTCCGACAAAAAAAACAGAACGTAAGACGGCTCGGTGGAGGAAATCATTTGTACGATGCATGCTCTTTTTTTTTCCCATGGTTTTAAGTGGTTTACTCAGTGTAGGGTGTATGGTTATGACTGGTGTAACTGTGCATGCAGGCAGAACAACCTCAGTTTCTCACAGGAATTATTTACGCTACAGACCCGGAGAAGTGAAAATACTGCACTGAATGATACAGTGGCATAATATGTCATCTGCACCAGTAGAATCACGGCTCCGAGTGCGCTGGCAGTGGGGTATATGGGGCGTACTTGGCTTTGTACAAGGACTCATCTCTTCTCTTGACCCTTTGTATAAAAAAAAAAGAAAAAGAAAAGAAAAGGAAAGAAACAGAAAGAACAAGAGCAAGTGTAGCAGAGCAACTAAACAAGATCATTCTTGCCAATCTCGTGTTAATCATACGATACCATTCTCCCAGCCTCCAAGTACCGTGCAACTCAGGCCATGCCATCCAGCAGCTGATGTTTATGTTTGCAGCGATAACGCCAACAGCATGTATATCTCTCACCTGGCCGCAGCTCCCGAAACTGCACCGCGACTTTACCCAATCCTATTATTCTCGCCTTGAGTCTTATCCAACGACTCAGCAGCATCACAATCCCCAAGTCAGGACATGAGCTGGAATCCGCCCAGCACCCTCACCATATGCACGCATTCAAAAAAAAAGGTTTGACTTACTCAGTCAGTCAGTCACTCACTCACTCAATATCACTTAGTCATTCCCCCCAGATCCCAGCCCGTCGCTCATGATGCGATACCTAAAGCGGTGGGAAAAAAAAGAGCTGATAATGGCAATTTTCAATCTTGCTTGTACACTTGGGGCTTCGCTGTGTTGCCAAGAAAGAAAAACAAGGACTCGTGTGATTATGGAGACAAGGTTTCTACTCACACACACACTCACACACACACACACATATGCACCCAGACAGAAGAACATCTCACCGCTGTTGCGGGCAGCAAGCGAGCCATGACTCTGTGGGCGCGTAGCAGCAGTACTACTAGTACAATCCGACGTCGGAACGATTAGAAAGTCGGAAATAGTCTTGCAGCAGGAGAATGGATTGGGGATAGATATGCAGTGGGAAATGCGTTTGCTTGTGGCGTTTTTTTTTATTATTATTTAGGTTGCACAGCAAAGGGGTAATTGGGGGGTGGGGCAGGGAAATGCCTAGTTTTTAGTGTGGTTAGCTGGGGAGAGGGGTTTTTTTTTCGAGTCGGGTTGGTGGGTGGCGGTGGGGTGGCTACTTTGCTTTGCTATGGGACACTACACGTGCTAGGTGAAAGTTTATTG